AGGGAGGACGCTCTGCGCATGCGTGCCAGCGCCCCGGCGACTCGCACATCCCGCGAGCGAAGTGGGATGATCTGTCACTACACCTGCAGCGCCGAGCTCGGAGGACAGCTCCCGCGGGCGGCCCCCAGGCCCAGGTAACCCCCGAGCGGGCGCGTGCACGCATTCCCACGCCCGCGGGCGTCGCGGTCTCTCCCCCTAGAGGCGGCCTGCTGCCGCTGCGAGGCGTCCTTTGGTGGCTGCTTGCAGCTTCAGGGCTTAAGAAATCCCATCTTTCAGGAAGCCCGAGTGGAAGGAAGGAAGTACGGGCGAAATCATCAGATTGGCTTCCCAGGTCTGGGCATCTGAAGCGGGCCCCCACCTTCCGGCCAACTTCCATTGAACTTCCCAGCGCTCCAAGGGGACCGACATGGAGAGCAAAGGTATGTCGCCGTCCCCTCCGGGGGACCTGCCCTGCCTGTGCGTGTGGCCGGGGCAGCCCTCCGCGAGGGGACTGCAGTGCCTGGGGAGCGAGCATCGCTCAGGTCGCTCGGAGGAGATGCTGTGTCCGTTGCAGCACCGGGAATCCTGGCCGGAGGGCCACTTCTTTTTAACTCCCACAGCTGGGAAGACGGTGTTTAATACTCCATCAGCTGCTTAGTGAAGTGTGATGAGTTGTTTTTATTTGTTCTTTTTTGGGGTAGGGGAGGTGGGGAGAGTCTTCAGCTGGTGGGGGAGGAGAGATGTGTTGGTAAAGCAGTTTCTCTTCTATGGAACGGATGAGCTCGAATAAACAGAATTCATTTGCTTCAGCACTGCTGACAGGCACGTTTGTATCTGATATCCAATAATGCATTGCTATAAAAAATGTTTGGATTGCTCCACCCCCACCCCACGAAGATGGTATTTCTGGGTGTGTATGACCACATCCTACTGCATTTGCAATAGATATCAGCAGGGAAATTGGGTCTATTTGAAACAGCATGCGTTAGAACTGACCTCTAAGAAGAACAGTGTATCCGGACTACTGCTTGACTCCCGAGCATGATGCGTTTACTAGTTGTGGACATGTATATATTAATATTCTCCTCCTAAGCAGTTCTGTATGATGTACACCTAGTAACTGGGAAACGAACTGTAAAATTCAACTTTGGATGGCATATTTAATACAAGAAACCAAAATGGCTATGAAAACTGTAAGATTGGGTATCCTTTGAGTTTAACTCCATCTATGCAGGTCTTTTCTCTCTCCTCCTCTCCCTCCTTCTTAAAACACCCACCAGACTGCAAGAGCCTTAGGTGATGTGGTCAGACACCCAGTAGGAATACTGGATATACTTGATTCTGGTGAAATCAGAAGAAATGATGTCAACTTTAATGAAACTATATTCATTACCAAGCAGCAGAGAAGCTATATTTGAAACAAGGTTTTATTTTTAAACCAGGAATGTCAGTCATTGTGCTAATGTGTTCAGGATCAGGGAATGGTGGTGCATTTCATATCTCTGGGCTGATTAATAAGACTAGCATGTTGAATGACAGAAGGTATATGTTCAAAAAAGTATTTTAAGTATTTAATCAATAGGGTTAACTATTTGAACCTTGGTAAGCATTTGCAGTATGAAAAGAACTGAATCGACATCAATTCAGGCTAGCTGGCAATTTTCAGTTTAGAAAAATTATTCTTGTGATTCTCTGATGGACATTTCCATGACTAACAATAATGTACATATATGAGAAAATCCATGTCTATAAGTATAATGAGGCATATATTTATTAACTTTATTGTAGAATCCATTTTAAAATGAGAAACCAGTCTTAGAGAGGTCTATAATATTCCAGTTCATTAAGTATTTCTGGAACATAAAGTTAATGACAGAGAGAGCATCCTTTTACTATGAAACAGTTTCCGTATGTGTGCTTAGAGGACACCTGCTAGTCGGTTATTAACTTGTTCTCTCTTTTATTTTTGACAAGGATTCTTGGTAACATTTAGCTCCAATTTATATACTAGTTCCTGGCCCATCATAAAGAGGATGTATCTCTTAGCAATACATTTTTATTTGCCTTCCTTTCCCTTAAAATATACTACATGCCACTCAGAGTTCCAGGTGGTTTATATCTCAAATTGACAGCACAGAGTTCTAGATATTCTGCCATTCTTGGGAGTTTTGAAAGGAGAAAGAATCTGAAAAATATATCTGAGAAGGATCAGGCAAGAACTTCTGTGCTTATCCAAAAAAACAGTGACACAGGCATGAATCACAGCATTGACCAAAAGGCAATGAAAAATTTTGCCCCAAGCCAATAGTGTGGTAATTTTGCAGAGGTACCATAATTGCCTCACACAAAAGACATGATGAAAGTTTTTATGTGTGTTAGTTCTTGGATTTCCCTTACAAAGCTGAATTAGCCAGGTAGTGATCACATTAAGAATGGATACTTTTTCCCCCATATTGGCCTTATTTTCTAAGTTGATGCCAATAGCACAGCTAAAACTTGTAGCTAACTTAAAATTTTTATTATAGAAGGAAAAAAAGAGTATATTGAGAGGTGTGTATCTGTATCCCATTCAAATTAGTTCATCTTTTATACTTTTTGCTGCTATATACAGACTTCTTTTCCCAACTGATTCACATCTGTTTCTAGGAAGGTGTTCCCAAGTATAAGTACATGTAATTGTTTTTTCTACTGGAAACTCTTTTAAGGTAGATTAAAAAAGCATTATGGCATGATTCAGTTGAGGGTTCAAGAGTTCTTCATCCCAGATAAAGTTCTAATGGCCCAGTTACTCTTGAATCCTGTCGCTGGCATTTGACAACCTTCACATTACCTCTAGCATTTGAAACTCTTTCTTTGAACACTTGTCCAAGGTCTATAGCAAGTTGAACTTCAGTTATTTATGAATAAGGTCAATTTTCTTTTGCTTCTTCCTTATTGCTTTGCATCACTTCCTGTCATCCAGGGTAAAGAAGAGAGGAAAATAAATCAATTGACCTAGCAATCAAGTCATCATCTAATTCCAGTGATCTTTATGCACCAGGGTAATTAATATCACTTCAGAGGTTTGGGCTGGTTGATGCATGGTCTGAACAGCTGTGACATAATTTGTGCCTCGCAGTGGTTCGCAAACTTTGCTGCACATTAAAATCACCTGGCATACTTTCTGACCATCCTCATGCCTAGGTTGTACCCCATGCCAGTTACATCAGAATGTTAGGGTGGAAAAGAGATATAGGTAGTTTTTAAAAGATCCCGGATGCAGCAATGTTTGGGAACCACTGATTTGATAATCAAAATGTGGTTTGAAAACTAGCTTTTTCAACTGCAGAATCTTGTTATTTACTCAGGGGCTATTGAATCAGAATCTTATTTTAACAAAATCCTCAGGTAATTAATTTGTAAATTTGTATGCACATTAAAGTTTGAGAAGCATTGATTTAGAGTGAGGAAAGAGATTTGTTCTATCTATCATCTGTCTATCTATCAATCATCTATCTATCATCTATCTATCTAATCTAGTTATCTATCATTATCTATCTATAATTACATACCATCTATCATTATCTATCTATAATTATCTATAATCTTCCTATCAATATCTATCTGTCTTATACACATCCTCTCTCTCTCTCCCTCTCCTCTTCTTTTCCTCTCCTGTCTACTACATTACATCTGCCTTTGTTTAGCTATGTTCTCAACATCAGGCTGGCATGTTAGAAACACTTGTAGAGCTTTTAAAGCATAAAGATGCTCTAGACATTCTGTTTTAATTGGTTCTGGAGTGGAACCTGGGCGTTGGTATTTTGAAAAAGCTCCCCAATTGGTGCTAATGGATAGCTAGAGCTAACCACTGGTCTAGGCTTGNTAGGCCACATCTCTAGACATTCTGTTTTAATTGGTTCTGGAGTGGAACCTGGGCGTTGGTATTTTGAAAAAGCTCCCCAATTGGTGCTAATGGATAGCTAGAGCTAACCACTGGTCTAGGCTTGCTATTCAAGGTGTGGTTCACAGACCACATTAACAGCAACATTAAAGCAGCATGAACATTACTTGGGAACTTGTTAGAAATGCAGAATTTCAGGCCCTTCCCTACATTTACTGAATCACATCTGCAGTTCGTCAAGATCTGCTGGTCATTTATATACACAATAAGTTTAAGAAGCACCGGTCTGGATTTTAGGGAGCTGATTATATCTGAGAATGACTTCAGGCCCCTCAGTAGAGAAGATTTGATATGACCTCACTAATCAATATGGAAGCTCTTGGATCTGTAATCATGTATAGGTCTTCTTGTTACATTTGACAGGATATAAATGGAAGGAAAAGAAATAGCCTGTCTCGTGGTTAGATGAGAAAACAAACTCACTTTTAAATACCCTCTTGCTCTTCCTCTAGCCATTTACTTTCTACCCCAATTATCTTGAACCACTTATTTTCTACCTGTTCTGAGCTCCTGACAATGTCCTGGTTTATACCCATGATAGTGTGATATTAGACTTTTTAATCCAGGTACATCTTAGCAGAGTGAATCTAGCTTTACCCTTTCCGCATTGTCATATATCTGTGTTCAGCTCTTTTGAGATTTATTTCATGTGGCCCTTGCTCTGTAAAATCTCCCCTTAACTCCCTATATCTAATTAATGTTTTATTGGCATACTTTATATGACCTAAGTACTTGTCTGTCCCTTATACACTGCCTTTCTTATAATCAGCATTGTAATTTTTATGCTCTTTATTTAAACAAATGTTTATTGAACACCTGCTATGTTCCCAATGTGCTTAGTTCAGAGACTATAAAAGAAAACTAAGATGCAATCTCTGATCTTAAAGATCTCACTCTCCCATCTCCTCTAACAGATTGTCCTTGTGTGAATAACATACCTGCAGCTGCCCAGGTGCCTGGCTCAGATAAAACATTTCCATTTATCTATGTAAATGGGTACTCTCGGGACTCAGATTGTGGATGTTGAATTGAATAGCCTTGATTAGTTTATCATACCATGCTTGTGCATCAGGAGACTGTAAATTGGGAGAGGCAATATAAGTTTGGCTACCAAGAGGACCACAGAAGCATCAATCTGATTCCAGAACATAGAAGTCAATAACCTGAACTGCTTTCTCTGTAGAGAATGCATTTATGTTCTCAGTGAAGATTCAATTCTTTTCTGGGTTTCACACCATCCATGAGTCCAGCCGGAGCCATGAACTAATGCATTTAATCTATAGAACAGTCATTTCCCTGCAACCAGGATGGTTCACCCCACAGGAGAGAAAGGAAATGTCTATATAGTAACTCATGTAGGGAGCTTGGAAGTGATTTTAAGAAAAGCCACTTTGTGGTTAAAAACAACAACAACTAAAACACTGAGGCCATCATGGTGGGATAAGTAAAATATAATGCAGTAAAAAGCGTAATGTGATAGATAGGCATTGGACATAG